TTTAATTAAGTGCAAGAAATTGGACTGCCTGCTTTTAATTTGGAGAAAGGATCTCTTTAAGACTCTAAACTGTTTGAGTTGATTACTTAATAGTAAGCTTCAATTATTATATCATCTTTTTCTATTTATTTATTTATTAATTTATTATTATTATTATTATTAGTCAATATAATACACAGCAAGCATGTCTTGCCATAAAACCAAAATGCTCAAAACAAAATTGCAAGATCAAATAATTTGTATATATATATATATATACATATATATAAACAAAAATGTGTGTGGACAAATTAACAATTAAACATTATAGGGTACCCTATATAAGCTTTGTATGAAACTGAGATTCAGTAAAAAAAAAAATTATAGTAATACATATATATATATATATGTTGGTATTTTAAAATATAAAAATCTAAACTATTAAGGTCATACAGAGAGAGCTTGTATGAAGAAAAAAGCTTCCTAACTCATAAGCTTCTACAGTTGCAGACTTTAAAAAAAGAACAAATATTAAATGTGAAAAGTCAAAACAAAAATAAATAAAGAAAATTTATAAGATAATTGGTATTTTCTATAAGAAATTAGGTGTTTTCAATATGATATTATATTATAATTGGTGTTTATATCTTGTTTAATTAATAAAATATATAAATTTTTACTAAAAATTTAAAGAATTTAATTCTTTTTTCAAAAAAAAAAAAAAAAAAAAATTTACCCACGAGCTATAAAGGGTAGATTATAAATATTGAAAGATTAATCCTTCAACCCAGCATAATTTACAGCTCGTGCTCACAACGAAGTTCTTGCGAGGTCAAACTTATTACTGTAATTATGAACCAATTTTATGATATGAATTTTTTGCAGTGTTATGCAGACTAGGCTATGGGGGTAATACTAAATTTTTCTGGTTCGATCTCAGGAGTGAATTGATAAGATACTTCCATTCCCAAGACTGAGAGAGATTTGAAAGAAGTGAAAAGCTAGGGTTGAGAGCAGAGTAGGAATGAAGAAGAGAATAATAGGAAAGGGTCTTGTGAAGAAAAAGTCAACGGAACAAATTGTAAGTTGTAAGATGGAATCTAATCTACCATTTTCCAGTAACACGAATGATCGATCAAAAACCCAGTTATCATCAGTATACATACACACGCACATATGTATGTATATGTATATATATGTATATATATATTCTGAATGTGATGATGTCGAGGAAACAAATTGAGTTGCTGTAGTGAATTTCTGATTCCTCAAAGAATCAAGTATCTAATTCTTTACATATAATTGGTTTCTCAAAAAGCAACCCAAAAGAAACTTAAAAAGAAATTCTCTGAGGTCGAATCAATCCGGAGTATATACCTTAATCAATTATATTAACATACATACAGATTTGCATATGATACTAGTTTACTATTTGGATTTTAGTGGGGAAATAAATCTTTTAGGACAGTTTTTAAATCCTATTATAGTTGTTAGTTTACATTTTTTTTTTTTCTCACGAACTAGCAATTAGGATGTTCTTAAATTGGTTCTGATCAATCAAAACTAAAGTTTTCGTATCTCTAATCCCTGAAAGCTGAGTACTTAACTAGTGTCTTGGTGGATTTACGATGATCAAAATTTTGTAACGACTAAGTTATTTTAGTCGGGATAACAACGAATATAATTTTCTTTTCGGCAAATAATAATAAAACTATACCCTATCTTTTTTTGGAAAAGTGAGAAAAAGAAAAAAGATCCTATTAGAGAAAAGTGGAAGTAGAGGTGCATGTGACAAAAACAAGGAAAAGGGTATGATGTGAGGTGGGCATTAGCATATAGTCTCCAAGTTCATTAGATACTCAATCCTATCACTCACATTTTCAATCAAATCAATTCAATGGCTTTCCTTTTCAATCTCAAAGCGTGAAGAGACTAAACTCTCTGTCTCAACATGCTTCTGCCCTTTGGGAAGAGTACTTGTTCACCTCTCTTATTGGTACTTTTTCATTTAACACAACAATCCCCCCTCCCCCGGGACCACTCTCACCAGCACCCAAATCATATTTATGATGCATGAATCAATTCAACCCTCTCTTTTCTTTCGTAACCTCCTCGGGTAGGTCCAACGAAACGAAACGCTACCTTATATCTAAACCTGCCATTTGTTCATTGTTTTACCATCTCCTCTCATGCCCCATATACTTTAAACCTACTGTAACATCAAGACTTGCATTCTTTTTTTCCTCTTACTTGAGTTTGCAAAGAAATTCTCTCACTAAATTCTCTACTTCTTCTTTAAGCCTATCACCTTCTTTAGCTCCAATAACAGTAACCTTAAATCTCAATATGAAGAAACTATTTTATATGTATATATATATATATATATATATATATATATAGAGAGAGAGAGAGAGAGACTTGTGCTGCCCGTGGTAGGAGTGATTCCCCACAAGATAGCAACCAGCCAAGATTGGGTCATAGGGTCTGACTGCATAATTTGATGTAAGCATCACCATGTTGGTCAGATTTGTGACGCAACCCCTTGGTTTGCGTTGGCCCCTGCATTCGCATTACTTTATGATGCTTCTTCCTTTTTCTCTTTCTGAATTCTCCAGAATAAACAAAGTAAAGAAATACAACATAATTTATTAATTGGAAAATAAAATCATATAATCTGTTGAATATTTCAAGGGTTAGAGTAGATATAATTTTATTCTGATATATCACGAGTTATAAAATATATTACTTAAATCTTATAAATTCCCAGATGATTAAAAAGGAATATTCAATTAAAATAAAAAAAAAAAAAAAAGAAGCCTTAAACCATGTGAGACTCACGTTTCCCCCCCTAAGATTGAGAAGAATAAGGTTTAAGACACATTGGGCTGTGAATAAAATTCCACTAACCTAAAACAGATGGGTACCTAAATTAGAATGGTTTACCAGGGGAAGTAAGAAGAGATCATGCGGATAAAAGGTGTCAAATACTACTGACTCATAATTCCACCAAGAGGTCGGTTGAAACTTTAAAGATAAAAATAAATAAATAAATAGTTTTAACTCAACCAAGAAGTCAGCAAATTTTGGTCCACAAGTCCATGAAAAGGAGCCTACTCAATCAATGCAATGCACGAGGAGCCTTTGTACGGATGATAAAATTTATTATCAGTGGGTTCTCTAAGTCTCAAAAGGGATCATGGAGTGGCTACATCAGGAGCCCCACAGCATTTGACATGATAATTTCGAGATAGGCAACCAAAGGATAATATAAGTTATAACAAAAAGTTACAAGAGTGTTATCTATATAATTGATATAAAAGGTAAGTACAGCCGGGCAAAGTAGATTTTATATCTAAAAACTGAGGTCAATAAAGATAGTAATTTACAGATGTATAAAGTAGTCATAAAACATCGACTTTTAATTTGTATCACCTGGCACATCCCTTTCTGTTCCCAGCTCCGTATGCTGATAGATTTCTATTTCCCACCACCCTTAGAATATCCATCTTTGAGCGTGACGGTTCGATTGAAGACCAGTCTCTCTGAGGTGGAGTCTTTATCAACTACAAAATAGCCTGGAATTGCAAGCAGAACGTCAGGCAGCCGAGAAAAACATAACGAAGATCAATATGCAAATCAGAGATATATGTCTTAAGTCAGAAGAAACATGGAAGTAAATATTGCCAGAACAGACGAGCAAAGATGAAGCACGAAAAGTTAGACTTCAACCCAGTGATTTGTAGTATGCAACGGTATCCAGAACCAACCAACCTGGGGAAAACTTGTTGCCAGAAATAGAATACAACCATACAGGCAAAGTATTCTATCCAACAACAAAATTAACAAGCCAGTCCACATACATTTAACCATCCAAAAAGCAATTCTCACAACAAAATTCCAACAGAACAGTCAATATTTGCCTACATAATTATTTCACCTATTATTCAACAACGTCCGAGGAAACTGTAACTTTTATTCCTACTACAGATAGCACACAAGTGAATTCTTAAGGCCAATTTGTTTGGCCTTGTTTCAAGGTATAGGCTGTAAGGATTATAACCTCGTAAAACATGTTGAAAGAATAAAAAATGTGTTTGGTTATTGTAGGTTGTTTGGCAAATTTTACACGAATAATGAGTGTTAGGTTCAAAAGTGTTCATAAGTTGAGAAAGTTAATAAATATTATTAAAAACATCACAGGCAAAATTTTAACAACTTTTAAGGTAAATTACCAATTTAATGTATGAATTATGAGCTACAATGCAATTTAGTCCCAAAAGTTTTTTCATCATAATTCAGTCCCTAAACTCATAGTTCCAAAAGTAATTTTTTTAATAAATTTTTTTACAAAAGTAACAAAATTAGTTGTTCATCAGTGCCATAATGACTCAAAAAATATGTCGTTTTTATTTAGGATTAGGATTTGAAAATAATTTCCAAAAAATGGTTATTTTAGCCCTACTCTTTTTGCTGATATATGTTATTTCATTTGCATGGCTTAAATAAAAACTAAAATATGGAAAAATAAGAAGGATTTCTTCCATTTCTTGTCGAAAGTTTCACATTTGTATAAAAAAAATACAAATTTTCATAAGTTTAAGGACCAAAAATTATTATCAAAAAGATTCTAGGACCTAAATGTAACATGACAAATATAGTAGGGACTGAAATGGATTTATTCTAATTTGTAATGGATGCATATGTGTAAAAAGCACAAAAGACGAAATAGGCTTCATTTCATGCCTCATAAGGCCAAAAGAATTTAGTTTAGTTTTTTTCTCCTTGTAAGCCAAAATGACTAAAACAAACACCATGCTCCTTTTCTTTAAGAGTAAAACCAGCTTTATCCTTGATCCATCAGCTTAGACATGATTCCTAAAATGCAAATAAAAGATAAATTTTCTATCCACGTAAATTTAGTCAATATTGAGTTAATAGTTGTTCAAATGGATTTCCACCCTCATAACCTTCTAGGAAATTTTTGACTTTCAGATTCCATAATTCCATAGCTTAAATAGAATAATTAGATATTGAGACAACTGCTCAGAAGAGATTGATTTTGATATCACTCCATCATGATTCAAGTTTTATATACTTTCAAATCTTTCATCTATGAGGAAAGACAAGGTTTCTGAAACCTACCTAGCCTTTCAAACTGAAATCCGTCCCCAACAGCAGCATTTTGGACTGATGGTACAGCATATGCATCAGGTATCACCTCTTTGGAATGTGGGTTTAGGTCGGCAAGCCAATCATCAAGTTCAGAAGGATTCTGAAGCAAAGTTCAAGAAATTGTTATATCTCATCATGTTTTCAAAGCAAAAAAAATGATGAAAGAAAAAATTACGGTCCTAAAAAGCAATAGAAAACAAACCTCAGAGTTAAAAAGTTTCTCAAATAATCTGACTTCCACCTTCAGCGGATCAATCCCTGGGGAAGGCTCAGCAACCCAATGAAGAACTCCCTGCACAAAAGATGGAAACTCCGTTTATGGGGAAAAAAGAGAGCATATTTTGCAACCAAAAACAAATCTTTTATCAACATCAAATTCCAGTATGACAGAAAAGAAAGTAAGAAACAAAATAACCTTTGGCTTTGTCTTTTTTAAAGGATCATATTCTGCCCGGATCTCAACAACAGTTTCATTATCCTCAGCTAGGATAACCTCTGTGCATTTTATGGGGTATGCATATCTGTGCGCATTGAAAGGCTCATAACCAAAAACAGAACCAGGTCTCCTCATTTATATAACAAATAAATAAGGAACGCCATGCATACCTGAGAAGAACTGATTTACCGGGAGCAAGACCATAATAATCTTTTGAATCTTTCATACGAAAATCAGAACGCTCAATGTATACAACTCTGGAAAAGGGAACCTGGAACAACAGCAAGGAAAGCACAAAGTTGTAGAATAAAACCTCAAAAACATTTGCTTTAAAATATCATATTTATATTGAAACCCTGTTTTAAGAAATAGTGCGCATGCTAAGCCCAACCAGATGTTGTAATTGGCATTTAACAAATACACCATTCACATTACCTGACATTCAAAGCATCAAGAAAAGAAATCCAACAATGACGAAACGATAATGCTATATGGCCCCTTATTTGGAAAACAGAATCAAGAATTTTATTTGACATTGGAATGCTTACAACACTAAATTACACAACTGTTAGCTGGTTACAACACCAAATTGAACAACTATTAGATGTCAAGTGGAGAGAGAGAAAATTGGATGGTTACAACACTAAACTGAATTATTAGATGTCAAGTGGGGAGAAAGGAAGAGGGAGAGAGAGAATTGAGAGGAAGCTATAGTGCACAAGATACAACATGCCAACATTTTTTTCTAAAATAAAATACAACATGCCAACACGCAAATTCTGTTCGAACTTATGGAATCATACTTTATTTTCAAAGAGGTAAATTCAACTCCTAATTAAGTCACCTTGTAAAAAGAAGATGAAACGTCTGTCTGAGCATCTGGCCATTGCCTTGCATCAAGATCTAAAACTGTGCCAGACTCCAGATTTGTAATGACCACCTAGGAATGTAGAAAAAATAAAATAAAATTAAGCCAGGCACTTCTATAAGATGTCATATAAAGATCATATCCAAAAATAACCACCTTGAGAGGATGTAGCACGACCAAAGTGCGAGCTGCTGTTTTGTTCAGTTCTTCCCTAATGTGATACTCAAGCCGGTCCAAACGTATCATGCTACAATCACTGCAACATAATATGGCAAGTATTTGTTAAAACAGTGACCAAAAACTATTCAAAAATATTGTCCCTATGATATGTCAATATCGTACAAAATTCAACCTTCTAGTGATTCCAATCCCCCGAACAAAGGCATTGATTGCAGTTGATGTAACACCTCTACGCCGTAACCCAGCAAGGGTCATAAGGCGGGGATCATCCCATCCATCAACGTACTTGTTTGTCACCAAGAAATTGAGCTGGAGAGGCACGGTAAAGTCAACTACTATATTTTTCAATAGCAAAACATGTTAAAAACATCTCAGCTTTCCATAGAAAATTGCCAAAAATGACCTCACCTTACGCTTTGACATTACAGTGTTTGTAATATTGAGTCTCGAGTATTCCCATACATAAGGTTGGTAAAGTCCCAATGCATGTAATAACCAATAGTATGATGCACGGCGTGTCTCAAATTCGAGGGTGCACAGCTACAAA